ATAAGAATACCCTTTTAGGGCTGAGGTTGCTAGCACTTGCCTAGCACATGTGAGGCACTGGGTTTGATCCTTAGCACCACATAAAAAATAAATATAATTATTAAAAAATTGTAAATAAGGGAAAGAAAGGGCCAGTTTCCCTTTTCCTACCCACACTGTAAAAAAAAAAAAAAAGGATACCCTTTGAAACAGAGGAGGACTGTTTCTCTTAATGACTCATCGCACAGGTAGAGGGAATCACAGGTGAATCAAAACTAGAGTGCTGTATTGTGAATGGTGTGTGTCCCTCCAAGCTCACATGGAAACTGTGGCCTGTAAGAGGTGACAGAGTCCTGTGGGGGCTGAGTTCTTTCTCTTGGGCTGCCAGCTACCTCCAGAGCCCACTGTTGACCCTCGTGCTTGTCTTTTCCAACAACCTGGTTGCTCTTCTCTGCCAGAAGTTTGAGGAAGTATGGGGCCCTCACCTGGCTGGGGCCGACCATGACCCTCAGCCCCCAGGACCATGAGCAGATCGAGTCTCAGGTATCCTGTCATCAAAACAAAGATGGACAGATAGAACTTTGCAGTTTCCAAATGGGGACCCTATTCAGCATGATGCCCTGGGCATTTCAACTCATGCCTGCTAAGCCCAATTTTAACACAAAAGTGTTTTAGTTCTTAATTCTCACAGGTTGAAAGGTGCCTGCTAACAAGAATAAATACATAGAGAAAGGGCAGGTCACACATGACTAGCCTGCAGCCATCTACCCAGGAAACCAGCCTCTTATTTGTGATAAACAGGCTGGGATACCAGTCTGCTACAGGAAGCCAGTGGCTCTCCTAGAGCTAGACAGCAGCCCGTGGTGACCCGCACTGAGCGGTCAGCACACTGACTCATGGCTCCTGTAATGGTCCTTTCTTCCAACTTCGGATGTCGCAGGAGCCAGCTGGCCCCTGTACTGTTGAGGGCCACAGCCGAGTCGGGATGACGCATGGCATTTTTGCCAGAACGGAGTGGTTGAGAGGTGATGCCCGCGAGCCTTTGAGATGATGATGGTTATGTTAAGCTGTGTGTTCAACTGTATGTTAGACCCCTGCTGTCCGCGCTACTTTGGAGTTCTCCTGGGGATTCCTGGGGAGTTCGCGTTGGTTGGGGAAGTGCCGGAGGAGGGATTTCCGGTTGGTGTGTGGTGTGTCCCCGGAGGTGCGTGGCGTTCAGGGGAATTCGGAAATAAAGTTTGTTCCTGCTTGAGTGGCTCGTGATTTGTGCCCAGCCAGACTGCAGCACTGTACCAGTTCTGAAGGAAGCTCCCCAGCAGCCGTCTTCCTGCCCAGGCCAGCGGCCCCCTGGGCATTGCCCTGAGACCCTCCCTCCCCTGCAAGGCCTTCCTCCCCTCGCCGGCTTTGGAGTCTGCCCAATCCTGGTCCCAGCAGCTCCCACACAACGGCCTCCATCTGCTCTCAGCTGAGGGTCTGCTTTCGTTTCCGTACAGCTGAGGACACAATTTTGGGGTTTCCAAGTTATTTGGGGGGCTGTCTTCAAACTGTTGGGTTTTGAAACCACCTGAGACTTGCTGGTGGGGGCTGGAGAGAGACAGTGTCTGACTCGGGGGACCCAGAAGCCCAGGGGTAAAGGGGGACCCTGATGGGGTCTTTCAGTTGGCTTATGGAGCCAGTGGCTTCCTTGACCATCTGGGTCCTGAAGACCAGGAAATGAGAGTCGTGCTTTCCCCTTGACCCTCTCTTCCTGGGGGCATCGTCTCTACTGCATGCTCACGATGATCTGCCCGGATCCCAGGATCTGGGCCGTGTAAAGAGGCCATTCCCAGCAGAGGAGGGAAGTAGCATCCCCCTCGCCCCAGTTCTGTCCACTCCTGGACAGCGAGTGTGAATCCTGTGTCCGCTAGGAAAGCAGCAGAGGAGCAGGGTCCCCACCGCCGGGCTCCCCTAGTCGGGCGAGACACTTCCCAGGGAATGTCTGCCCTCAGCAGGGCCTTGGCAAAGCCGAGGTGGAGTTCGGGAGGTCTGTGTGGAGAGGATGGTGTGGGCGCCCAGCTTGGTGCACACAGAGGTTAATAAGGTCGCTTTTCTAGCCCACTCTCAGCTGGTCGTGGGCAGGTTTTGCCCCCACAGATTAGATGAAGAAAATGATCTTAATACTTAGTGTTTCTCTTTACACACGGGATAGAAAACCTGGGGCTGACTGAGCAGAGGGGAAGCTCTGACCGCCGTGGTTCTGCCCCGAGATGAGCAGTGCGCATCTCGGTGATGGCTCAGGGCTCCCCCTGGGGGCTGTGCAGGTCGCCCTGGCCGGGCTGCCCGGTTCCAGGGAAGGGAAGCTGAGCCTCGGGAACAACAGGGCCGCGGCCACCTGCAGCCCACCCACCTGTACCTGAGCCTGGGGCCGCTCCAGGAGTTCTGCTGTCACGCCAACTGAGACTGCTTCGCTCTGGCTGGGCCTGCTCCCCGGCCCTGCTCCCCGGCCCTCCCACCCCCCTCCCTGTGCTTGTCTTTCCTTCCTTATGTTTCTCTTGCCTTGCTCAAAAAATGACGGGAGGCCACTTAAGGGCACGGACGCAGCACAGAAGGGAAAAGCGTCTGGTGTGAAGAAACGGACAGGGAAGAACAGGGACATTGCCCACCTCCCACTCGTGGCCAGGCCGCCAGGCCTTGCTGGACGCTCAGGTTTTTCCTTGATGTGGATTTAGATTGCACTCTGCCTGAGGTCCTGGCTCCTCTGCGTTATCTGCTGCCCTGAATGCAGGGCACCAGTCCACATGGGCACTGCCCAGGAAGAAGAGCTGCATCCTGCCCAGGGGCCTAACTGCCGCGTCTTCCTCCAGCAGGATTGGCCTCCAGCTAACTCCACGGGAAGTGTGTTTGGTGACACAGAGAAGCCACTCACAGCTGGCAGAGGCTGCAAACGGCTTCCTGTGTGGAGGGGAGGGCTGCTTCCCAATAATCAGGGGATGCAGAGACACCAGGCTTTTGGAATCCTTGGGTCCCCTGGGGGATGGCCGAGGACTGACTGGCCAGAGGCCACCGTCCAGAGTCTGGCGGCCGCACCATTTCCCGCTTGGTGTCTATGCCCTTGCAGGCCCCTGGCCGTGTCCCTGTGGTTGCTCTGACACCCACAGGTGGGCTGCCCACGGGGCGTGTCCTTTGGATGGACTCACACCTGTTTCAGCCTCAGCCCCCCAGTGCCCCGACCACGCTTGGCCTCTGCCCAGTGAGACAACACTGATGCAGCCTCCTTGTTGGGTTCCACAAAGCCACAGGCACGCAGCAGGCCAGCCTGGGGCCACACGAGGGGCACTCTCTGTGTGCCCTTCTGGCCTGCACCGTCTTCCTGCTCTTACCTGAAACACAGGGGTGCTGCCCGAGGCACGACCTGCGCTCCCCGCCTGGCGCTCCTCCTCCTCGGGCATGGACTGCGGCCTGTGTTCTGCAGTCACAGGAGGCAGGGAGCAGCTTCTCTGGACATGCACTTGACTGGCCTCCATGCTGGCCACCGGCCTCACGTGTTCACAGTTCCCTGGTTTCATCCCAGTCATCTTCCCGAGTTTAAGGATCGCGTGTGTGCCGGAACCCAGGGCTTCCCGAGCACCTGGCGAGCACTCCGCCTCTGAGCTGCACCTGCCCCTCTAAGGCTCCTTCAACAGCCCCAACAGGGGCGATTCTCATGAATCCCTTACTTATCCCTCTATAGTATAATTTTAAGGCTGTTTTGATTTATTTTGATGCATTTCCGACTCTTTCAATAGTTTTAGGATAAAGTTGGGTGATTTGGGGTCAAAATTTTGAATTTTCAAAGATTTTGACATTAGTTAAGTTACCGTTTGAAAGTGCTATCACTTCTTGGGCACACACTGCTCCTGGGGAAAATGGCTTTTAATCATCAGGTGACAGACCTGGGGCATGGCAGTCACCATCTGCATGAACATCATTTGTTCCTACAGATGGCCTTTGAGGCTGGACAGAGGTTTCCCGCTGCAGGTCCCGGAGAGTGAAGGGGAGGCATCCCGAGGCAGAGCCCCTGCCCCTTCACCAGGGCGCCAGCTGGGCTTGCTGCGGGTGGGTGGCGACTCTCTGGTGTCACTCTCTGCTGGGAGTGACACCAGGCGCCAGCTTCCAAGGGGAGCTCTTGACCTGAGCTCAAGGCAGTGGGAGGCACCACTGCGCAGAAATTCTGAAATTTAACAAAACTTACAAGATCTTTTCCTTAAATTGTATGTTAAGGGGACTTGTGTGAGTGCAGTGGGGGATATTTTGGAATTTTAAACCATGAGGTTCCTTTTCAATTGAGGTGATGTGAGAGGGGGTTGGTCATCCACTGTGAAGCCACATTTGGAGGGTGCACGTTGGAGGGTGCTCGGATCCTGCTGCAAGTGCTGAAGCAGCAATGTGTCTTCTCCTCACACCCAGGTGACCATCCATGGAGACTCAGGCAGGACTGGATCTGGTGTGAGATCGAGAAGGCGCCTCCCCCGGGATCTACGGCAGAGGAGTGGCGGCAGCCACACAGACTACTTCGACACTTTGCAGAGCAGCTGCTGGAGGCCTGGGAGAATGACCCCTGCTGTGGGAGACAACGGAGGCCAAGAATAAGGAGGAGAAGGGCGAAGCCCGACACCAGCTGCCGCCTGTGACTCTGCACTGGGTCACAGGCAGGTGAAAGCCAGGACGGACGTCACTGGTTCCAATGGAGCCGTTGGTGTGGGAGCTGTTCAGTGACAACATGGTCACGGAGAGTATGAGGACTGCACCTCTGTTCCCAGCAGATGTCCCTGGGCACACCTGAGTGACAGGGGCAGTGTCCTCACCTCCATGCACACTCTGAGCTGGAAGGTGCTGCAGGAAATGTGACAAAATTGTGTTTTCAAAAAGGACACTGTGGGCAGACTAGGAAAGCACTCACACAGTTGTTCCCTCTGACCCGCCCCAGAGTTGAGGACCAGCCCTCGATCGTACGGCAGTGCAGAGAGTAGCTCTGGTTTGGGGGCCGGAGGCCCAGGGAAGACGCAGACCCGGGTAGAGATCCTTCGTGCTACAAACGTGGCAACACCTCTTTATTTAGATAAGATGTGTTCACATCCAGCATGACAAAGTTTGTACAAAGTTCACAATTTAAAAATGAAGTATCACAGCAACTTGTGATTCCACACATTTATAGCAAAATTAAAGTGTCAACAAACCCATGCCGTGTAGTACAAAAATAAATCAAACTTCAGTTCCACAGAGAGCACAATAAATAGTTTATACAAAATTCTGTCTTGATAAATGATTGCTTAAATTAACTCAAATGAATATGAACAATAAGTTATAATAAATAAGCTCTGGTAACTCACAATAGCCCATATGGAAGGTCAGCATTCTAACAGGTGGCACTGTGATCCCTATACAACAGTCACAGATGACTCTGATTTGATTATGTACCAACGTTACATGAGCAGCAGGTTTGTGCTTAGTGTCCCTTTCCATTGTACATGGGGGATGACAATGAGAATCCAAACCGATACTACCTATTACTCTACTAAAAGCATACTACATTGGCCGAGAAGCTGCAGACGAGACGCGGGGGAATGCGTGTGCCGCTATGAACAGGGGCCCTCCGAGGCGAGGCCCGGACCGTGTATGGCATCAGGTGACAGTGAGCACCTTGCTTCTGCTCTCAAAAGGCATTTCTGAGCATGGCAGCTAGGACTAGTCGCACAACAGAAGGGGCGTGCCAGGGCCCCGAGCAGTGACGTCGTCTTCTCCCAGCTAGGAATGACCGTCCTGGAGAACTGTAGGCGTCTGTACAGTGAACAGTATAAAGTGCCGCTGGGATGTACACACATCTATACACATATATATACCGAGGTCGAGTATTGTATCAGAATGTTCGTCGTGAGATCCCTGTAGTCTCCCTGGGCTACGCGGTGGGTCAGCCGTGGGGCCTCTGCTCTCATCCGTCCAGCTTCATGTCGCGAGGCGACCGACACAGGAATTGCACACCTCCGTACGGATAATAGGACAAGGTAAGTGCAAATAGTCGACTGGCACATTGTGGGGACAATGACCCTGTAAGTCCTGTTCTGCTAAAAATATTTTTTTTTAATTTTTACAAAACCCATCTTTTTTTTCATAACAAAATTTTAAAGTACTTTTGTACTTCCTGCATAACATCAAGACATGGAAGGAGAGATGCTACTAAAAGAAATCAACATCAGGAAACACAACACATCGTCAAAAGACTACTTAGAAGGGGAACGCAGCCGTCAAAAGTGGTCTTATGCATACAGATAGTGCAGTCATTGGAGTCAAACAATCCAATCCTGAAGGTGTAAGAAGTCTAAGATGACCTAGTTCAAAGCAAAAAGTGCTGCAGTATATTAGTCAGGTTAAACTCTGATTGCATTCATTCTCAGCATAGGGCACAATAGCCAACAAGGCTATGCAATGCTCTGTGGTCACCTGGACCCGCGAGGGCAGGGCGTGAGCGTCCGTCGTTCTCAGAGCGCTCTGAATAGGGCCAAGGCCGATTCAGAGTCAGGGTCGGGTGGGGCGAGGGGTGGGAAACTTTACAGAGCTGCTTTCCCACCGTCCAGCAGGAAATTCAGTCCAGAAAGCAGAGTGCTCACAGCCGTTAGCTTTTGTCCCTCAAACGTGAAATGAGAATAGCAACGATAATGATTTTTTAAAAGTGAAAAGGGGAAATAAATGCTCTTAAATTATCTTTTTGCTCAAATTGAAAGCACACAACTTCTGTTAGGTAAACTATGTTGCGGGAACAGTTCAGAGGGGCACGGGACTCTAGGAGAGATAAGAGAAGGTTGTTCCAGAGGGTACTGAGAACCAAAAGGAAATCTTCGTGCTGTCCACCTCTGACAAGGTCCTGTCTTAACGGAAGTCTCCAGAGTCACACCATGTAATGTTTAGGAGTTAATTTAAAAGTGCTGCTTAAGCTGCTTTGAATCTTCTGCCAAGTTTCCATGGCTTGATGTTGTCTTACAATAAATTACTTATTTCATTTCTTACAGTTAATCCATATGCCATTTCCTTGGAATGCAAAAAACCTCACTTATTGCCCCCACCATACACCATCCTCCTAAAACAAACAAACAAAAAAATCACATAATATTTCCAAGCATTGTTCAAAAATAAAGCATTTTGCAACCAATTCTCGCTATGAAACAATATGCACACAAAATGTATTTCTTAAATTCCATAAAGTCCTCCAACACGAGGCAAAATGATAATGTCTAAAAAGTGGCCGTGGGGCCACAACATGGTCATTCAAAGCTGTTTTTTTTCTTTTTCTTTTTTGTCCATTTCAGTTCAAAATACTAAAACATTTAATCACTAAAGCATTAAAAAGAATTTACACTCTATTTATTTTGATCAGCTTACCTCTTCAGAAATATATATACCCCCAGTGTGCATACAGTAGCAGCTATAAACATTACACGGCAGATCACACTACGTCAGCTCTTAGGAAAACGTACAAAATGTGAATGTGTTCAAAAACTATTCTGCAGGTGCTATCTTAAAGCAAGACACAAAACCGTGTGGAGTCTCGTAAGCATAACACTGTTCCGACAGAAATAAATAGAACGCTTTCTGGTAACAAGTCACAGCAGCCGAAACCAAGAGGCGTCCTTTCTTAGAATGAGTCTCGCCACTAGAGCAGCTGTTCAGACCTGAATTCCTCTCACAGCCTGCTTTATATTTTCCAGTAGGGCCTTATTTTCTGGACTCTGATAACGGTCTTGATTTGTATACATTTCCGTCAAAGTAGTCACGTAAGCATCAAAATTTTGTTCATTGATTGGATCCTACGAAATATTAAATAGTAGTTCATACACAACTTTTATTTTCTTCATAGTATATTCATAACAGCATAAAACAGAGCATAGCACCCTGCCCCTGCATCATCAACTAGACAGCCTGTCAGCAACTCGGCTTCATGGATCCGCCCACCACGGTGGCTAGCGGGCAACGACATGGCTTTGGGATGGTGACCAAGGTGCCCGCAGGCGGAGGACCATGGAGTGATGGCACAGGACATCTATCCACGTGAGAAGGGAGGCCGCCCTCCGGGCGCTCATTCACTTACCATGTGAGGCAGCTGGATGTTGGCCAGGCTGTGGATCAGGGACTGGCTCAGGTTGGCCAGCTCGTGCAGCAGGGACTCGTTCTGCTGCTCGATGACCTTGTTCTCCTCCTCGATCGTCTTCAGGTTGCTTTCCATCGTGGTGATCTAGAACACACACGCGTGTGACATGTAACACACGTCGCCTGGGCGTGCGCCCAGACTGCCCAGTGCACAGCAGCGTATGCGCAGGACTGGCCACCCGAAGGGCTGGTTCTCAGGCTTCTGGTCCATTACACTAGAAAACGTGTGAACTGGGGGCTGGGGCATAGCCCAGTTGGCAGAGTGCTTGCCTCGCATGCCCAAGCCCTGGGTTCAACCCCCAGCAACTCACAAAAGGAAAAAAGAAAGAAAGAAAATGTGGCAACTGGACTTGCTGGACTAGCTGGACCAGCATGGGAAGTCCTTGAAGATTCCGGGTTGCTTCTACTTTTCAGCTTTGGATGTTTTGAGAGTTGCTGCAGGTGGAGGTATCCCAATGATGGTCCCCAGCCTGGTGCTATCCCCTGGAGGCTCACTGGACAGTGCTGGGACCTGAGTTGGCAGTTACTGAGTGAGTGCTAAAGCTTCCTCTTTCCATCTGGCCACAGCTAAGTCCTAATGACCCCCATTCCTCTTCCTGCTCAGGTGGGGCCTGGGCTGCTCTGTCCACCAGGCTTCCTGCATAGACTTGCTTCCTCTAAGGATCAGGTCAGGACCTGACTGGGGCCTTGGGCCTCCCCAGCTCACACAGAGACAGTCTCCCGTGCTCTGAGTCTCTGCTGTCCTCTCCTCACAGCCCTGGATTCTCAGCCGTGACCCGGGCCTCTCCCTGGGCAACTGACCGAGGAACCTGGCTCTCCAGCATCTTCTTCCCACTGGCCACTCTGGGCTCCCATCCTCCCCTCTCCCCACTACTGTGCCCTCGTCTTGATATGGGGTGTACCTCCTGGGTAGCTCTCCTCTTCACGGCACCTGGGGGCCGGGGCTTGTGTGGAAGCCAAGGGTGGTGACGCCCCTCAGTGGTGACGCCCCTCAGTGGTGGGTGAATGGGGCTCTCCAGCCCCACTGTCCTCTGGGGTACTGCTCCAGGCCCCCTTTCCTGCTCCCTGGGTGACTCTCTCTTGTTAAAGTACCATCTCCGGGAACCCGTGCCGGCCACAGTGGGCGTGTGGCAAGCCCACCTTCCCTGGAGGACCCCTCCCCAGGTCCTGGCAGACTGTGCCTCCACCTCCAGGCCTGTGTGCTCCCGGAGGTCACTGGGGAGAAAGTCCCCATGTGCAGAGTGAGCTCCTCAGCACGAAACACAGCGGAGGGGTGTCAGGGCGGCCAGAGCTCCGCGGGGTCACCAGGCAGGGGAGCGCAGGCGGAGTGCAGGAGCACCACACTCCCTGAGCAGAGGCCCCGACACTGCTCCCTGCAGGGCCACCCAGGGCACTGGCCTGGTTCCCTGGGCTCAGCACCCTCACCCTCAGCAGGTCTCTGTGTGGCGCCAGCCCTGCTCCCCTGTGCACCTGATTGCTCTGACCCACTCCCAAGCCATTTCTCTTCCACGAGGACTGACACACAAAGTAAGGGCCTAGGCACCCCACCCCTGAGCTCCCAGGGCCTTCATCACACACCACACCCTGTCTGCCTGTCTCACCAGCGTTTGTGGGGACACATTTAATATCAACTTCTCTTTAACCCGGCTATCCCACTCCTCAGTTTATAGCCCAAAGACTTAAAAACAGCACACTACAGTGACACAGACCCATCAATGTTCATAGCAGATCAATTCACTATGGCTAAACTGCGGAGCCAACCTAGATGCCCTTCAGTAGATGAGTGGATAAAGAAACTGTGGCACATCTACACAAGGGAATAGTACTCGGAAATAGAAGATCATAAAATCATGGCATTTGCAGGTAAATGGATGGAGTTGGAGACTATAATGCTAAGTGAATTAAGCCAATCCCCCAAAACCAGATGCTGAATGTTTTCTCTGAGATGAGGATGCTGATCTATAATGGGATGGGTAGGAACTTTAGACAGGGTAAAAGGGAGGGAGGGGGAGGGAGGGGACATGGGAGTAGGAAAGATGGTGGCATGAGATGGACATCATTACCCCAAGTGCATGTGAAGACACGAATGTTGTGAATATACTCTGTACAACCAGGGTCTTGAAAAATTGTGCTCTATATGTGTACTACGAAGTGAAATGCATTCTGTTGTCATGTCTAACAAATTAAAATTTAAAAAATAAATAATAAAAAAAGATCAATTTCTCTTTCAACCTAAGCTCCCTACTCAAGAGCCTGGACCCTCCGAGTGTAGTGTTCTCCTGGGACCAGGGAGCCTGTAAATCCAGCCACCCTGTCAAGCCCCCAGGCCAGGTCCTCTGTGGGGGAACCCGAGGAGCTGACGCTGTGTGTTCTTCTCAAAGTGGGACAATTCTCACGGGTGCGTCCACTCTGCCATGACACAAACGTGGTCTGTGCACTCCAACCCTGTGGCCATGGGCACACATGCTCTGAACTATGCCTGGGACCTTTACTTCTCTGCAATGGGACCAGCCTGCGAGCCTGTGTGGTGCTGAGGAACACCAGGAAGAATAGACAGGCTGCTGGCGCACAGCGAGCCTCAGCCTCACCTGCTTCCCCAGCCCCCTGAGCCTGCAGCTCACCAGGGGGATCTCAGACTGCAGGTCCTCCTGTGGATCCTGCCCACATGCCTGAGGCCTTCTCAAGGTGCTCCCACCCTGAGGGTCAACAGGGCTGCAGGCCTGGGCATTCCTGGACTGTCCAGGCAAACCCTGGGTTCTTCCCTGGAGGTAGGAAGCCCACCTCAGGCAGAGGACATCTGCTGCTCCAGGGGCCAGATCCAGCCCACGGGACTCAAGCTGCAGAGAAATGCTCAGGAACACCTTGGAGCTGGCTGTACAGTGTGGCAGCACAAAATGGCAGACACGTGTGAAGGGGTGCAGGGGAGGGGGTGCAGGGCCTCCCACCCCAGCCTCCCCAGGATGTGCTGATCACAGTTGAGGAGAGAAAAGAAACAGGGAACATAGGCAGAGATCTTCGTGCCCACCCTCCTGGAGTGGCCCTCGGGACTTCAGAAGTTCTGACCTCAGTCCCTCCTGCAGGAGGGCCTGCACTGCTCTGCTCAGAGCCTGGGCCTGGGATCGAGGGCTTCCTGAACACAGGTGGTCATTAGAAATTCCCTGTCCTCACCTTCAGGGATGAGAGCACTGGCCCACACCCGGGCAGCATGTCCCCTGTGTGGATCTAAGTCTGAGGACCACCCATTCCCCTGGGATAAAGGTGGAGTGCCCGAGGACAGGGAGTCTGTAGGTGGTGCCGCTGTCTGAGGCTGCTGCACACAGCATGGGCGCTGGTTCCTCAGAGAGCATCTCACCAGCCTCAGAAAGGCCACGGGACTTGGCCAGATCCTGGGTTTGCACAGCCTGCTCCTCACTGTCTCCCCTGGACCTACAGTTTTCCTAAGATGGACATCTCTTGAGACCAGGGTCATTACAGGTCTGATTCACCCTGAGACCTGATTTGGAAAGGCCCGTGGTCTGGGACTGGTCTTTGCTTCTTGTAATGGTTAACAGCACCTGTGGTACACTGAGACGTGAACACACTTCAGGGCCACGTCGGCTGCGCAGGTCCACGGCCACCTGCCACGGACACAGGGTATCGCTTTCAGGTGGCCTGGAGCTAGGGGACGAAGCCCGGGTGAGCCAAGGCCGAGACACCTGCCGTCTGACTCCTGGCCAGGATGGCGTGAGCCACACAGACAGCACAGGAAGTCTGCCATGGTGCCCATCAGGGTCAGGAGACAGACTCTAGGGAAGGCCCCGCAGAGGGGAGCACTGCTCTCTGCCAGGGGGCGGGACAGGCACTCCAGAGTGGGTGGGCTGGGTTCCACAAGGACTTCAGGTGGCAGGGAGCCATCCGTGGGGGTTGGGTGGGGCACAGTGGAGGGTGGCCCAGCCCAGGTGCCTGTGCTGCTGACCTGCAGAAGCACAGCTGTGGGCGTGTGCAGAGCCACCACGCTCTGGAGAGGCCGAGTCGACTGCCAAGACTCCAGCCTGCCAGATCCTTCTCCAGTTCTCATTCTGACTTCTCAACCAGCTGTGCACTTGACCTTGTGAGGAAGGGAACCCCAGGGCACAGCTTCACCGCTTCCCACCCGCCCTCCTCTTGATCTAGCTTTCCCAGCCCAGAACTTTCTTCTCTTCCCGGTCACTCAGGTCCTGGAACCCTACCCCTCCTCCACAACCCCCAGGTGCAGCCCCTCAGACCTCCAGCCCCTCCTGCTGCCTGGGGCTGCGCCTGCTCCCTGCTCCCGCATCTCCTCCTTCTGTGCCTTCGGGTACACATTTTCTAGACTCTGAGAGGAAACAATTTCTGTGTACAGAGAAATCCCCATGGTACAGAGGCTGAGTCACGCCTATCTCTGTACTCTCTGTGGGCATGCACCCCAGCCCTTGTGGCTGGTGGTGACTTGGCTGCACTGGTGAGGCATGCACTAGTGGTCTGTGGAGTCCAGAGCCTGAGGCCCATCACATCTCCAGCACTGAAGTGTGTGCTGCCTTGGCCCAGCTCAGCTGGGATGTGTGGGAGACCAACCTTGCCCGTGACTGAGTCACTCTCCCTGGCTGGGTGCTGAGGTGCTCAGTCACAGAAATGTGGCAAGCTTTCCCCACCCTTCTTGGGTTCGAGGGTCGGTCTCGTGCATGGGTGTGTCTTGCTACAGCCCCTTGGGTGAAGCTACGCTCCCCTGTTCCTTTGTAATATTACCCCTTGCCCTGTTTAGGACAGAATCTTCCATGGAAGTGCCTTGTGTGTGTCTCCTCCTCTTACTGTGCCCTTGGGTGTGGCCTACCCAGGTGTCAGTCAACCTGCTGACAGTGGACATCATGAAGATAGACTCAGCCCCCTGAAACCTGACCCCTGGCCTCGTTTGAATAGCTTCTCCTCAGTAAAAGGGGTCAGCGAGTGCTCTCGCTCTCTCTTCCTGCAGACCCTTAAGGTCAGAGGAGCCGTCACAGTGACCCCAAAGAAAAAGGTATTTGTGTCTCTTGTGGGGTTACTTTGTGCAGCCCAGTCAGCCCAGTTTTCCTGGAGTGACCCCTGAGCCTTTTAGTCATGAGAGCAGAAACCCAGCAGGGGTGGGCTGGCCTCGGGCAGCTGGGCAGTTCTGGGCCTAGGTGGTAGGATGGCTTTTAGGACTTGTGATCTGATGGGGACTCAAAGACCCAGAAACAGACCCCTTCTCACTGAAGTGCAGACCATAAGAAGATCTAGGTTTTTGGGGTACACAGGAATTGTCTGGGCTGCACTTGACCCCAAACACTACTCAAACACATTCCAAAGTGGTGTGCACATCTACGCAACACACAAAGGTGTGCTTGCCCCGAGTCTGAATTCTTCAGCTGGACAGCAAACAGCATGCATGTGGCAATTGATAAGAACCCTCTTGGGTACGGGTGTGCTATGGTTTGGAAGTGGCCCCGGTGACTCAGGCTTCACTAGTGGAAACTTCATCCCCATCTCGAGGCATGATGAGGTGTAGACAGAATCCAGCTGCCGGTGTAGAGGTGTGGCCTTTGGGATCTGACCAGGATTAGAAGGTCACCAGAGTGTGGCCCTATGATTGAGTCCTGGTGATTTTATAAGGAGAGAGGCCAGAAGGAGCTCACGTGTGCCCGCACACCACACACAGACACAAACCTACACATGCACACGCTTACACACTCATACACATGCCTGCTCCCTGTCCCTCCTGTGTGGTACCTTGCAGCTTCCTTGGACTCTGCCAGCAAGAAGCCATCCCCAGAGGCAGTCCCTGTTCCTGGCAAGCTAGAATCAACCTCTTTTCTTTATAACTCAGCCAACCTGTGGCATTGCATTATTGGCAATGTTAAACACGCGTGCAGCTGGTGCCCCCTGCACCTTCGTATGGAGAGTGGTGGGGAGAGCTTCTTCTCACCCTGGGCAGTCGTCTGAAATTCAGAAATGCTGTCATAGTTCCCTTTCCCTCCCTGCTCTATTCTTTGACTGATTTAAATCTCAGCCCTCCCTGAGCAGGACCCCAGTGACTTGGGAGAAGCCCCAGCATGGGGTCATGATCCCTGTCCACTCCTGGTTGCAGCAGGAACGTCAAGGAGTGATGGTCCCCTCCACTGTCTGGCGGATGGCACACCTGGTCTGGCTTGTTGCAACTGGGTGCCATCACGTGTGGCTCAAGAGTGTGTGGAGGGCCCCAGGGGAGCAGCGTCTGATGAGGACTGATGATAAGCGGGCAGTGTGTCCACAGATGGAAGACCACCGGCTGGCCCGTGTCAGGAGGGACGGGCAGTCTCCTCACCAGCTGCACTCGCAGGTGCTCAGACCCACCCAGCCCTGCCCGGTAGATGGCCGGGATCTGCAGGCACAGGCGGCTTTCACCAGGGCACCAAGTGAGAAGTAGGCCCCTCTGCAGTCCTGGAGTCCTGCTGGCACCAAGTGAGAAGTAGGCCCCTCCGCAGTCCTGGAGTCCTGCTGGCACCCTGCCATCGCCGGTGTGACCTAAGTCTAGGGCTTGGAACACCTGAAGACACCCTGGCCTTTGCTGTAGTAGGTGGCCTTCTGGGAAAGGGCACTCAGGAGGGCATCCTACCACACACACACACACACACACACACACACAGAAAGGGGACCGTCATGGCCACTGGCTCACAGCAAACAGCGCCATGGGAGGAGTCCAGCAGGAGACCAGGACACAAGGTGGACGAGGAAGAATGCAGGGAGAAGAGCAGAGAGGTCAGCTGCCCCTGAAGAGGCCCTGCCCAGGCCCCTCCTTGGAGAGGACGGAGGCTTCAGAGACCGTTACCTGAGTCCTGAGCTTCAGCATGTCTGCCTCCATCTGGGAATTGGACTCGTTCAGCTCCTTGATCTCTTCGTCCAACTGCTTGATCTCCTCGTCATTTTCTATCCCTGAAAGGGCAGAATCCGTGTTCAAACGGCCATACCACAGGCATTAGTCAGGATTTTGAGAGACTTCTTTGTTCTTTTTTTATGTCAGGAATTGAGTTTGCTTGGGAAACACACAGGGGTGCCTGGCACAGTGATGTTATACTCATGTAAAGAAAAAACAGTCACAATCCACATGTCTTTCTGCCCCTGCCCCCACCTCTCCTCCAACAGGACACCTGAGCAGAAGAGGGGAACACCGCCTGAGTGTGCAGAGACCCCTAGGCCCGGAAGGACTGGGCCAGAGTCCTTTCACCTGCCCAGGTCACCTGCGCTGGGGCTGACTCCCCGGCTCCATCACCTCGGGCACCTGTGGGCTCCTGCTTCCTGCCTCCTCAGTCACCTGGGAGGCAGCCACTCCCAGTCCTCAGGGGCACATGCACAGGAAGGAATGGAGAGAGCCCCTCCCTCACCATGCCCAGAGTCCAGGCAAGGCTAGGCCTGACCCTTGAGTCAGAGTCCTCCTGGCAGAGGACAGCCCGTGTGTGAGACCCCGGCCGGCTGAGCATTTCAGGCCTGGTGTATCCAGGCAATGGCTTGGTGTGGGGGGGCACACGCCTGCAATCCCAGCATCTCCAGAGGCTGAGGCAAGAGGATGGCAAGTTCTAGGCCAGCCCCAGCATCTCAGAGGCACCCTGTCTCAAAATAGAAAGTAAAAAGCCTGAGGAGGGCCTCAGTAGTCCAGTGCCCCTGGGTTCAATCCCCAGGACCCAACCAACCAAGCAAACAGACAGGGATTTCAGGGCCGCTTCCTCCCAGGTGGCTTCTGCTGCAGGCACCCTTGGAGCCAAGGTCAAAAGGAAGGGGATCTCTTGTGCTTCTGGCATTGGGGTCTCATGGTTGAGAACCCATAGCAGAGGGAGAGCAGAAATGCCGCAGGTGCAGTCACTCAAAACCCAGTGCCTGGGATTCAGCTGCCACTGGTCAGTCCTCTGTCCCCAGGAGGGACCTTTCTCAAGGCAAGCTCCTCACGGATGATGTGTGTGGAAGTTCTGTGGACAGAGAATGCACTCAGCCCAGGGCAGAGCTGAAGCCACCCAGCACACTGCAGAGACTGCCGCCCTTCATGGAGACATCGCAGACCAGGAGGGGAGAAGGAGGTGGGTCATGGGGTGGCCTTGGGTGTCGCGTTCAGTGAATGAAAAAAATGTTGTGAGATGAGAACGCGCAGTGCCGAGAAGCCCTGCTGCGAAATGCAAGCGCAGCCTGACTGGCAGCGCAAGGTCTGCTGAGAAGGAGCCCGCAGGCAGACGCTCTGAGAGACGGCGACCAGGCAGCTGGCTGCCCACTGTCTGCCCAGGCAAGAGCTGCCCCCAGTGTGAGTATCCCTGCAAACCTGTCCCTCAGTTGTCTTGCTCTTCTGTTCTGAATGGCTCACCCCCTCTGCTACCTCTTCCTTCACCAGCGACTGACGACTGACACAGACCAGATGGACTTGCCTCAGGTCTGGCCTGCACTGGGGTTGCTGGGGTAAGGTGCATGCTCATGTTTTGCCAGGTGCAGGCACAGGATGGAGCTAGGATGTTCCTTGTGGAAGAACTGAGAGGAAAGCTGAGGCTGTCCCCAGGCCCCCGGGAGAGATGTGCAGGTGGACCTAAGGACTTCTAGGAGGCAGAGACTGACCAGCCTCCACCTGGCTGACGCCTGGCCCAGCGTTGGGCAGAGTAGACCTGTGAGGCTGGATGCACCTACAGGGGCTCACAGCTCGAGGGTAGGTGTGCCACCGCCAGGTGTGCCTCTGTAAGTGACAGCCCATGCATCAGGGATGTTCTGTGCCTGTGCCCGCAGGGTGGGGTGCTGCTGTGGGCGATATGTGGGCTGTGGTGGGCACGTGGGTGGCTGCCATCTGGACCCCAGGTTTCCAGGTGCGGTGGGGCCTCGGCAGATCCCTGGCTTCTGCGGTGCTTGTCAGCTCTGTGGGCTCCATTTGAGAACCCAGAGTGAGGCCATCTTGTGAGAGGGCCCGGCCCCTGCTCTGCCGGCTTCACGGCCATCGGCTCTGCCTGAGCCCTTCTCCACACCTTCCCTAGGCTGAGAGGGGAGGCTGAGCTTCCCCTGGGAGGTGCTGACTACATTCCTCTGACCCCATCATTAGCAGGAGACATGGCGTGAGCCCTGATGGACTGTCCAGGGCACACCGGGAGGGCCCGCCAGCCCTGGCTCACCTCGTTTCTGGTTTGGGTGTCTCTTTTAAAGACACCTTGGCTAGGGCATGTTGTTCATGGTCAGGTACTGGCTGAGGCTGAGGCCACAGCCCTAGAACTCCTGCCCCATGTGGCACCTCGGGGGTCGCTGCCACCTCTGGCTCTTGGCAGCTCATCCACTCAACATCTGGGGCCAGCTGACACAGCAGTATCACCAATGAGAAGCCGGGCACAGAAGTGTGGCACTGAGAAGGCCACAAGAGGAACCCTGTTCTCAGTGGGTGGCTGAGACAGGAGGATGGATGCCCTGCTTCCTTGGGCTGGGGACCTGCCCCCAGGCCACGGGCTGCTTCTCCGGTCTGTGGTGCCCACAAGACCTGGAGGCTGCAGGAGCACTGAGATGGAGACAGAAGATGAATTTTGTATGCAGGCAAGTGCGCAAGGCGGGATCTGAGTTTTCCAGGGCTCCAGGCTGTGTGGCTCCGTTCTCGCCCCCACACTCCTGAGAACTCTGATTTCCTTGGCAAACCTGTGTGCACTGAGGCGGGTCAGCAGCAACAGAAACACTGGAAAGGAAATGGATTTTGCAGATGGAGTCAAGGAAATCAGGCATGAGCATGCTGAGGAAGGGGAAGTGTCGGCAGAGCTGTGTCACTGATGTCAGGCCCTGAGTGTCCCCAAGCCTGCTCTGGTGGGAGGCTCAGGGTGGAGGGCCTGAGGGTAGAGGCAGGAAAGCCAGAGCCTGGGACCCAGGAGGCAGGCAGCCCAGTGCGAGAGACCCGGGGGCTGGAACCCCCTCTGCTCCTGCTGTCTGGGGTCAGTGGTCCAAACCAGTGAAGTCAGGGGACACAAAGCTGCAAGACATGAAGCCAGCTTTTGCTGAGAGAGGGAGGGACGGGGTGGTTACCATTGCTGGCACGCTGCTTGATGGTCAGCATTTGATCTCCAGACAGCTTGGCCTTCTTCATGGCTGATGTAGCCCGCGGGCATCCTGACAGGCTGTGGACAAGACAAGAGACGGCCGTTAGCCACGGGCTCCACAGAGCCCGAGCCGTGCAGAGAGGCAGGCAGGCACATGGCAGTGTTTTATCAGCCTGGCTGCCAGCAAGTCTTCAAGAACATGGAAATGACCACTGTGGAGGATGCTCACCCAGCCCAACCAGGGACGAGGGAGGGTCCTGGCCCGGTCGACTCGTGCCCACTGTTAGGTGGTTGTGAAACATGGTCACTGTGGCCTCTGGAGTGAGGTCTCCCCAGCAGGGCCTCTGAGAAGGAGACACGTGCTCCTCACAGAGTACCTTTTAGAGAAACTTTAAGAATTGAGTAACTCATCTAAAAAAGTCTTTATTATAGAAAGCACCAAACTCATACCAAGGTTGAATTCCACCTCTAGTCAAACACACAGAAGCACACCCAGCAGGTGCGTGACCTCTGCACCTACCCTCAGCCTCGGGGGGGCCAGCCCCACTTCAGCGCCCCCTCTCGCTTCCCGGCCGCTCACCTGGCAGAGCCCAGCTGCACAACAGCAGTGCCACCCTCTGATCTGCGCTGGGCAGCCCCACCCTGCCCCACTGCTGACTTTCCACCAGCTGATCTGCTTGTATCCGGTGGCATGCCAGTTTGCCCTGGGCACTGGCAGCCCGTCTCACTGGAATCGGCAGGCACGGGGTCCTGGGCTTGCTCCCTGCTTGCTGTGTGTTTGCTGGGGAAACGTGTCCTCTGGGTGGAGCCTTCTTCCAGGGCATCTCAGGCCTGGCCTCCTCCCCCCTGCCTCCATCTGTCTCCCCTCCTCCATGGGCTTCCTGGTCAGGGTCCACTTGGCATTTAATGTACGAGTGAGGTGAAGCATTTCATAGTACGATACTTTACATGTAACGTCCATATGCATCCGTAGCAGTATCTATGCATATAGAATCTTGAATTTTTTGCCTGTCTGCCACGTCAGGTGGTCCTGTTGGTAAGTGTGGTGATGGTGTGTGGTGGCATCTCCGGTTCTCCATCCACCCAGCACTCGGTGGAGTCTCAGAAGATTTGATCACTAGTAGAAATCTCTCTCAATGCCTGCATGAATATGGTGAGGATTTCTAAACACCTCCTCACGCAAATTTTTCTAATATATTCTCCAGGGAGATATCAGCATTGTTTGGAAGGAAATATATCTTGACTTGACCACATTTTCACTATCTCTTCCCTATGAAGGCCTACATTGTCTTTTTGATAGGACACTTGAATCTTACAACTATATCAACATATCCATAAAGTTCTAATAAAATCACTGCTGTCGGCCGGCCGGATGTTTGTGTTCCCTGGAAACGCATCCTAACCCTCAAGGCAGAGGTGTCATCAGGTGGAGCCTTCAGGGGGTGACCAGGATATGAGGGTGGAGCCTGCATTGGGATGAGTGTCCTCAGGAAAGGAGCCCAGAGAGCTCCCTCACCCTTCCAACCCTGTGAGGACGCAGAAGCCACCATCTGTGAACCAGAAATGGGGACTCACCAGACAGGGAGACTGCCAGTGCCCTGACCGTGAGCGTCCAGTGCCCAGAGCCACGAGGAAGGCTTTTCTTTTCTGTTACTCCTGAGCACCTGGGCTGATGCAGCAGCCCCAAAGAACCTAGGCCACAAGACCAAGTTGCCAGACTCCAGGGTGTTCGACCCCAGGGTCTAACGGGACAGCCTTCCCCCAAGTCCCACCATGGGTGTGACACTAGCTAATAATTCTACTCACTCGCAAAGAAGACAAGGTAGAGCAGAAGCGGCCGTGGGAGGTGTGGGGAGCAGGACAGGCTCTGTTCACTGCTCTGCTCTGTCTCTGCAGGCCAGGCCAGCGCGGGGAACAGGGGCGGGCATCACAGTGTCAGAAGAATGTGCGCCTCTGGATCCGTGTTGTGCCGGGGCAGGTGCAGGCTGCCCGAGGACCAGCTCCTGCAGAGGACTGCACCTGGAAGTTCAGGGCTGACTCTGCATTGCCGTGGGGAGTAGAGACGGCAGCCTCAGGGCTGGAGGGGCAGGAGTGCCTGCAGTATGGGTCTTAGTACAGCTGCAGGTCACACAATGGAAACGACATGACCTATTTTTTTCTTCAAGTTTTTGTGAGAATCTTTCTTGAGCCCCGCCTCCGTGGAAGCTTTCTCTGCTCTTCCTCTTCAAGGAGTCCTGCTGTAGAACTGCTAAAAGCCTGCCCAGGTGAGACCCTTTAGGGCAGACCTGTATGGTGTCCACACTGCAGTTTCAAAGCAACCCTGCTGCAGGACGAGTCTCAGCAGATTGTCCACCCAGTCAGCACCCTGTTCACAGGAGTGCCCACAGCCAGGCTCCCCTCTGGTCAGTTCTGTACTCTTGGGGAGTCTCATTATTTAGAACCTAGAACCTTCAGATTAAGCTGAGATGGGCCCTGGGCCAGACTTTGTGCTGAAATTCTACATTCACCCACCCATTACATGGCCTCTCGGAGATTTGGTGTTTTCATCTGTCAAATGAGAATGAAAAAGTAATCAAACCCCTACCTCATGGGCATATTTCAAAGACTGAGCACAGAGAAAGGACACTGAATAATGGCAAAGGCAGGCGTCAGGCGAGGGGCCTGCAGAGAGCAGTGTGGGTGCAGCTCTGGAGGATCACAGCCCTGTGAGCCTGGCAGCCGCAGCCCGGCTTCCCGGGGGATGTCACGTGTTGGAGCTGAAGCCCCTCTGCTGGCTGGACTACGTGGCTGTGGCTCTCAGAGCCTGGCTGGGCCCAGTGTGGGCGACCCTCGCGCCGGATCCTCCCAACTGCTCTCTCCAACAGCCTGGATGTCCACCTCTTGCTGTCCACGTCTTGCTGTCCTTCCTGCTATCTCTTGGCACTGGATGGAGTGTTTGCTTCCTCAAGGACTCTCCCTGTGAAGCTCCCAGCTCCTCCAAGCAGGGCCAGCTCTGTCCTCATCACCCTCCATGTGCATTGTCCTGGCTGACGCCGGGGACACAGTGAGACCCAATAGGTTGTGTGGAGAAAAGCCCGGGTTGGGGCAATGTGTCGATCACCATGGACAGATGCCAGATGGACTGAGGTCTGGAGGCCTGGATGGTGATGCTGAGGGAAGAGGTGGACCTAAGGAACAATGTGTGCCATGCATTACGTGCTAGCCACAAGGGACAGGGCACTTGATCAAGTTGGACAGACCCTGAGTTGGCACTTCTCAGACCAGGAAGGTAACCCTTGCGTCTCCAAAAGCTTTCCCCAGAGGGGGAGAGAGGACCCTTCCTGAGCACCCAGTCCTACTCTCCTGTGGTGTCCTATTAGGTCCCAGTGGAGAAGCCCGTGGCAAACAGCCTGGGGGGGGGAGGGGCGGCCTGCTCAGGGACCGAGCAAGTTTCCCCCAAGGTCTTTCAGGAGGAAGTGCAGCAGCTAGGGCAGCTGCCGGAGAGGCCCTGGAATGAGGACAGCGGCCAGGCTGCCCTTTCTGAACTTGGCTCAGGAAAGCCTGTTGCCCCGCCTCTCACCATGGCCGCCTCCTCCAGTGACCCAAGTGAGCAGGGCCTGGGCATCACCCAGAGAGTCTGAGCCTCAGGTCCTGAGTGCTCAGTGAGAGGCAGACCAGGTGCTTGGGGCCTCCTCTACGGGGCCTCCCACTCTGGGTGCCTCCGCAGCAGCAGCAGCCCTGTCATCCCATGGTCTACTCGCTCAAGAGAAGATGAACGTGTGCCTCACTGTCCCTGCCTCGGGCTGTGGTCTTCAGCCCCTGGAACGCGGTGAGGCTGCTGCAGAGCTGCTCTGGGGTGCCTCTCTCTCCCCATCTCCAAAGGCACGCTTCTTCCTGACTGACTTTAGAAGGTCCTTGTGAAGTGCATTTAAATAGTAATGCACACTGGGCGTCTCCTCCCCTGGGACTCTGCTGGCCGTGTGATGAATGGGCTCGCTGACCACCCCAGGGGAGGAGCGCGCCTACGGGCAGGCGCGGAGGTGGAGCCCAGCTTCCCGCAGGTGCCCTGCGGCCGGCAAGACCTGGGAGCTGTTCCCAGTCCACACCCGATGAGCAGGGGCTGCTTTGGGCTGCGGGGCAATAATCCGCCCGGGGGAGTGGCCAAGAGGCATCCTGTAAGCAGCTCCGGGGAGAGTACGGGAAGCTAAATTAGGAAGACCGCTCACAGAGCAAGGCGCGGTGCTGAAACACGCTCCGCTGGGCCTTCCATTCCGATCCAGTGAGCTCATCGCCCTGCGGGTCAAATTTGGAAGTGAGTCCCAGGCAGGGGCCTGGCGGACCCGGGGCGTGGCGGGCTCCCCGCGGACGCACTGCCACCTGGTGGCGACTCGCATTGCCTGCACTCTGTCTCGCAGCCGGCGGGTGGGGCGCCTGGCGGTGTCCTGCCAGGGAAGGCGAGCCAGGTCCCCAGCGCTGAGGAGCAGGCCCGCTCCCACCGTCCGGAGCTCTCCCTTTAGACGGGCGGCCTTGGATCTTGGATTTGGAATCTCAGAGCCGGGAGGTCTGGTTAACACGCGGCTCCACTGCCCAGCCCAGACGTCTGGTATGAGGCACCAAGGGCAGGAATTCAAGTGCAGCTTCCAGCCAGCGCTTTAGGGCTCACAGGGAGGTCTGGGAGGCCCCATGTTTTATCAGGACATCGCTCAAAGGGGGCTTTGAGAGCTTTAGTTGACATTTGCTAAGCAAGAAGAGCGTTGAGGGGTGTGGTTAGCAAGACAGGAGGTGCTGTGACCCCAGAGAGCAGCCAAGTCGCTCTGGAAATTTAGGTTCACTGAACACATAGGAGGTGCCTGAGGATGAGGACAGATTGGGTTGGAGGCCAAGCCTGCACAAGCCCACTGTGGACACAGCCAAACACCCTGGAGGCAGGCAGCCCCTTTGTGCCCAGTGCACCGTGATCATGCTGTTTCTCTCTCTCTCTCTCTCTCTCTCTCTCTCTCTCTCTCTCTCTCTCTCTCTTTTTTAATATTTATTTCTTAGTTTTCGGTGGACACAACATCTTTGTTGGTATGTGGTCCTGAGGATCGAACCCGGGCCAC